CGGTTACTTTTTCTTATAGGTAAGACCGAATAATGCCCTATCCAATACAAGGTGAAACCATTTAAGTTTTTCATAATTGATCTATTACTTTTGATTACTTGTGTTCTTGGGATTTTCTTTATTATTTTTTTCATCTTTTTATTCTTATCTCAATTGTCAATCCTTTTGCATATCTTTCTTATAAATAATTAAGGGTTTACTAATATTACAATACTTTGCAAAATAGTCTTGACAAGATGATACTTTACGATGTCAAACATTTTTTATATTATTTGTTAACCGATACACTTATCTACCAAGAGCACAATATTTAAATTACAGTGACAATAGATATTTGAGAATCGCAGAAGACACTCATATTAGTTAATTCTACTGATATAAATTATACTAATTATTACATTATTCAATTACTTTTTATCAAATAGTTTTGTTTCAAAACTTGGGTTAAATTTTTTTTATAATCGATACCATATTTATAAAATTTGTAAATAAATTCAAAATTATTTAACATTTATACAATTAAAAAAAATCAAATATATATATTTTAAAATTTTTATTGCTACCTTGAACATGTTATGTTATGGTCAAGGAGAAGGAATCTCTTTTCTTTTCATTGATTTATAGTATTCATTTCTATTCATTTCATCACAACATTTTAGTTATGTACCCCTTGCAGTTCTTAAATTTTATTTTTTATGCATTATTTTATAAACATGGTTCAGAATTAGACTTTAGTAATTTCAATTTTTGTTTTTTGTTACACTTTAATTTAACACCTTCTTCTTGAATTTGCTTCCACATGATGAACTTGTAGCGTCTAATGGTAAAGTAGAGGAATAATGAATGGCATGGATTGCTAGCCTCAATGGCAAATATTTGCTTTTCCTATTCCTTTTTTTTTTAAGACTAATGAGTTTACTAACTTAAGTTCAATTACACGATTATAGCTTCCAAGAATGGCGTTGGTGAGCTACAATCATTCCCCACAAAAGGAGTTGTGGCCATATTGGAATTGCTCCATGATGGTGTATATTCTATTATTTTGGTTCAACTTATAACCAAAGAAAGCTTCTAGCTATGGTCATTATTCCTAGTGTTTATACCTTCTTTGGGACTATATGACTTGCAAAATGATCATACAATTTTCTCTTCAATTGACAAAGTCTTCAAAGATCTAGTGAAAATCAAATTGTGGTCTTAGATTCAAAACTAATTCTGCTTACTTTCATTACTCATTTTCTTGTTACTAAAACAATCTTTTGACCTTGTTATTGTTTAGGCTTTGAATAGAATATGGAATTGATTGACAAAAAATAGAGATTTTTTTGTTAACTTTGACTTAAGGATTGAGTTTAACTTATTACCCTAATATAATAAATGTGTATTTTTTTATAAAAAAATTAAAACTGAGTTTAAAAAAAAAAAGAAAAGAATAAAACGTGGAATCATATAAAGAAAAGTAATATCAATTGTATGGTGTGGCTTTCAAATTTGTGATCATCTTCTACTCTTAGAGAGCACATATTAATTGGAGATTCAGAAACTTGGAATTTGGATAATTTCCAGCTATAGGACGTTAGGAACCTCTTTATTGAAGTTTGATGAGGAATAGTTCATAGGATACTTGACATAATTGATTTAGTGAGACTTAAGAAATATGTATATTTAAGGGCTGTTTTATGTTTATTGTAGCTTTTTGTTTGCTTAATCACCGGTTGAATATGAGTTTTACGTGTGGGTGCAAATAATTTGACTTATTTATGAATTATTTTATTTTATTTTATTAAATGTTTATTCAAATTTATTTGTGTAGCTTACAAATGAAGTAAATTTAAAGTCAAATTCAATTATTTAAACGAGTCCAGACAAAAATTTTGTAAATTTTATATTAATAGTTTATGAATAGTCCGTTTATATATGAATACTTTGATAATTATATTTTTATTCATTATATTTACATTAAAAATATAATTTTATTTATCATCTTTTATATATATAATTAATATGTACTTAATTTTAATTTTCAAAATTTAAATAATCATAAATATTTTTAAAAATTATCATTTTTATAGTTAAAGACTTTATTTTTAAAATTAAATTATCTTCATGTATATAATATGATATTTTGTTATTAATGTGCTTTACTTTTTAGCATGAATATATCAATCAAATATTAAATTAATAAAAATTTTAATCAAAGAAAAATTTATCAATGAAAAAAAATAAACAAGTCATAACAAAATAATAAATTAAGTTAAATTTTCAAAATTTCTAACTTAATTATACTTTAAATTAATATTTTTCACTTATATTTTTATAATTTTAATTAATAATTTAAAATATATTAATAGCATCTATGGGTCATATCTTTTGGAGCAAATCTGATTAATATCGTTGTACTTGCAAATTAATAGCGCACAATTTCATTTTCTTTTCTATTATAGTTAACATATATTGATAGAAGATTAATACTTTGGTTAAAAATTTAATTTTTAAGAAGGAAAACAAAAGAAGATGAAAATTTATGTAATATTTAACGATATTTTAAAAAAATTAAATAAGAAAGGTATGATTTATAAATCTTTCAAAACTTTATAAAGTTTTTTTTTCTTTTTTATTAAATTTTTTTTTCTTTTTTACTAAACTTCCAAATAAAACTTAAGAAACTTGAATCATTTCCACTTATAAGAACTTTTTTTTATCAAAATTTGTTAGAGGTTAGCTCATTATGGTTGGAAGCTAGACAATTGACAATTACTTGGTGACACTAAGTGTGTATTTAAAAGAAGTTAAAAAGCTTATAAATATGAATATAATATAAAAATTATAACTAATAATATTAAAATAAATATATTTATTATTATTTAAAGATAAAAATTTCTATTATCACTCCAAAATATTTATTAGTACTCTTTCATTTATATTTTATTTAAATATTATTATTAATTCAATTAACCAACAAAAGATTTTTTTTAAATAAAAGGTACAATATACTAACACTTAAAAAGTAAATCCAAACATGCTAAAAGAAGCTTATATTTAGAGCATGTTTGATTTACTTTCTTAAAACAGTTTTTATTTTAAAAAATAAATTGTAGTATAAATTTGTACTATAATTTATTTTTAAAAACTAAAAACTGTTTTTTAAAAAGTAAATCAAACATATTAGGAGTTGTTTTATGTTTTTTTTTTTTTTTGGTTCAATCAGAATTGACACGAAAAAAACGATTTTATATATCACTTTTTTTAATAGAATTTAATTTTTAAAATATATTACATATATATTGAAAAATTAAATTTAAAAAATAAGAAAAATTGAGAGTTGTATAACTGTTAAAAAATATGGTCCACGAATAAAAACTCTACATAAGCGTCCTTGTTGGGATAAGGTTGGAGATGATATAGAAAGGTCGTTAGCTGGGCCAATACTGGGCCTGGGTTGATCCAATATTGGTGTAGTGTTGACACAAAGGGGTCATTAATTGGACAAGGGTTTGTATCACAATACAAAGAGGTATCACAGTTTCATCTTCATTATTGAGTAGTTATGGTTATTGAATTTTTCTTTCTATCCCAATAAATATTTTTATTTTTTATTAAATATTATTATCATTATCATCATCTTCCATTTCTATTTTTTTTCCCCTTCTTTTTCTTTCTTCTCACCTTTACACCTTTCCACTCATTGTCACACAACTCAAACATCACTCAACACACAACACACTAAATCAATGTCTCACACATCCACCATTCACTCTCTATGACCTCCACCCTCACACTCCCAAACATTACACTTTTTCATTACGCAACATAATATTTTCTCAGCACTCATTCGCAATACAACACTCACATATACCTCACTTTCACCCTATCACTCACTGTTATTTTTGCCTCTCAACAACATACACTATCAAACCTCATTGCTTCGCTAAATCAAGTTTCCACCAACATATATCGTCTACAATCCACTAACCCAGTCACTCGTATTACTCTGTACCCTAATCGCCATGTTTTGATCCAATGCAAGAGACTCACTGAAGATCATTGGGTCAAGAGAAGAAGAAGAAGAAGAAGGTGACCAAACTAAATATATCACTTAGAAGAAAAAACTACTGTTTTTTTTAATAGAGTTGGCATAAATATTTGACAAAAGCTTCATTGCTAAGATCATCTTGGTATTTTGTGTTGACAATTTAGCTACTGTGGCACTTGATTGATTATATAATAACAAAGGCATGTAACTTCACAAGAAAAGAGATTTTGCTGTGATTTCATGAAAATTGAAAAAAAAAATGAAGTTTTAAATTTAATATATAGTTATTTCAAGAAAAACAGAACAAAGGAAAGAAAAAGAAAATAAAAATAGAACACAACTTTTTGGGGTGATTCGTATTTTTTATTTATGCTTTATTTGTACGTTACATTCATATATAATCCTCTTATATGAGCAAATATAAAATTACAAGAAAAATGGAATGAGTATCACTTTACTGCTATAATATCTATATATATCAAATGTTTATGTATGTATATTTAAAATATTTATATCTTTAATTTGGATGATGATAAAAATAATTATATAATGTTGTATAATTAATTGAATAATAATTGTAAAATTTTAATTATATTTCCTTTACAAAATTATTATGATATATTTTATAATTCTTTTTCTTTGTCTCAACAAGTATCTTTCAATCTTTCACATAAGATAATTTTCTTCACGACAAAACTATATGGTTTGGCTAATTTTTTTTATACACAAAATTTGTATTTGAGACCTTACTGGATAAAAATTAAGTATGTATCACCAAGAAAGATAATGTTTTATAGTTCAATTTAATTATTTTAAATAAACATTGTTAATTAATTTATTAAATCACTAATATTATTTTGATTAACTTGTATCAAATCATTGAATTTCATGATTATAGATTCATAACAAAATTATAGTTATCTTTAAGTATTAATGATGTTAGACATTTTAATACAAAATACATATAATAGAAGCAACAAACCTTGCAACTTCTATAATGATATAAAAGGAGAACATACAGCTTGGAACTTTAGTGTGTTGTGCACTAACTCTATCATCTTATTCGTTTCTTTATTCTTCCCACAAGACCAAGAGGAGATCGAATACTAAAATTGGAAAATGTTTTGGTTTGATTTGGCTTGATTAGTCAATGGAGTGTTCAATGTTAATAGCCACTAGTGTCTGTTGCTGCCCTACTCTGAAGACTTACCAAAGAGTAGTAAACTCCACTTTGTCCCTTACCCAACAAAGATGAATGGGTACCTTCCTCTACCACTCTCCCTTTATCCAATACAACTATTTGATTACAACTCTTTATGGTGCTCAACCTATGAGCCACCACCACACTTGTTCTTCCTACCATCACTCCTTCCAACGCATTTTGAACCACCTTTTCTGATTGACTATCAAGTGCACTAGTGGCCTCATCCAAAAGTAACACTTTGGGGTTCTTTAGTATGGCCCTAGCTATTGCAATCCTTTGCTTTTGGCCCCCAGATAATTGCACTCCTCTATCCCCACACCATGTGTCATAACCATCCTTCATGCTTGAAATAAAGTCATGAGCATTAGCTGCTTTTGCTGCTTCAATGATCTCAACTTCATTAGTCTTATTAAATGATCCATAGGCAATGTTTTCCCTTATGGTCCCATTAAAAAGAGTTGGCTCTTGGCTCACAAGTGCAACATAGTTCCTAAGAGACCTAAGGTGATATAACTTTATGTCTTTGCCATCCATGGTCACAATCCCCTTAAGTGGGTCATAAAACCTCTCTATCAAGCCTATTATGGTTGATTTACCAGACCCACTTTGCCCTACCAGTGCTGTTGATTTTCCTGCATCAAATTTGATTGAGAAGTCTTGAAAAATCATTACACTAGGTCTTGATGGGTATGCAAAACAAACATCATGGAGTTCTATTTGGCCTGTTAAATTCTTAGGCTTATATGCATTCCTTTCATCAGGCTCAATTTTTGCGTTTCTATAAAGGATTGAAAAAACTAAGTCAACTGCATCTGTTCCTTTTGCAAGGTCACTAGTCATGCTACTAGCATCTGCAATGACTCTACCTGTATTCGCCAAAATTAAAACGGTCTGAAACATTGCTTTTGAAGTAATGTAGCCATGGGAAACAAGCTTTCCACCATACCAATATTCTATAGCTCGAGTGAAAGTTGTAAGGCTTCGAGCTAATCCAAGGACAATGCCTGCAAACCATGATTGTCGAATGCTCTCACGACTTGGACCTTCTTGTGCATTTTTAAGCATTTTAATAAATCGATCTTGTGAGGAAAAAGCAGTGATGGTTCGAAGGTTGGAAACAGCTTCAACAGCTAACTTGCTACTTTCATCTTGAGCTTTGATGGCTTTGTTAGACATACCCTTTAGTAGTACAAGTCTTGTGTAAAAGCAACCGATGGCTATAGGTTGAACAGTTATCAATATAATAGCTAGTCTCCATGCAATGATTAGGCCCATTGTGCATGCTATAATCACAGCAGAGATTGTTTGTACCAACAAACCCATTCTATCTCCCACTAAAGATCTTATCTGTATATACATAGCACAAGTAAAGACGAAGTTCTAAATATAAAGTACAAAATATTGAATCAAATAATAATTAATTGACAAGGTAGATTATAAAGTACTCAATATAAAACTAAGATATAAGACCTAACGAAAATGACAATCACAAGTTTTCTTGAGATATAACTTCAAAATTTTGAAATTTTTACACACTTCACAATTTGCAATCTATATCTCACCATAATTATTGTTTTTTCATTACTAGTAAAACATAGACAAAGTATTACGAAAAATTGTGAGAAATGTTGAGGGAAAAAAATAAAAACTTACTGTGTTGGGTTCTGTAGCTAGTCTAGAGCAAACAACACCAGTAGAATTTTCTTCTCGATCAAACCACCCAACCTCGAAAGTGAGTATCTTGGAAAGCATTCTTTCTTTCACCCTTTTGGTCAAGTACTCTCCCATGTAAGCAAAACTATAATGTTCAATGATATTAACAACCAACGAAAACATTGCCAATCCCACAAAAAATAAGGAATAAATGGCAACTTTCCTTTTCATCTCATCATGATTTGTGAGAAAATAAATTGATATCATCGACCCCAACGCAAATGCGTACAATGGCTCAATTGCACCGTATAACATTGCACTTAAACTCCCCAAAAATGCTTGTTTCCATTCAGGGAGATTCAAGGCAAACAATCTCCAAAATGAAGGGGATGGAAACTTTTGATCATCTCTATCTTTTTCAGCATTCTCTTCATTAGCAAGTGAAGATTGAGATGCCAAGTTTGTAGGAATAGAATGACTTACAAATGAGAGCAATTGACCATCTAAATTATCTTCATTTGATGTAGATGAAGTAGAAGTGAGAGAGTGTGTGTCATCTAAATCACATTTTGATTTCTCAATTTGTTGAAAATGAACCAATGATGTGTAAAATCCATTGTTTTTTTGCATGAGTTCATCATGGGAGCCCATTTCCATGATCTTGCCATTCAGCATAACAGTAATAACACATGCATCTCTTATGGTGGATAAGCGGTGAGCTATGATGATGGTTGTTCGACCTATAGCAACTTTGTCAATAGCTTCTTGCACTTTGCGTTCGGATTCAGAGTCTAGTGCACTTGTTGCTTCATCTAAAAGGAGAATTTGTGGATTTTTTATTATTGCTCGGGCAATAGCAATCCTTTGTTTCTGTCCTCCTGACATTTGAACTCCTTTCTCTCCAACCTATGTACATGCAATATTTTTGCAAATAATTTTACACCAAGTCATAATAATTGTTAGATTCTCTAACTAGTTCATTAATAAAGTAGGATATCAAAATAACTTCAAAGCAATAACTATTTTAGGGAAGGAATTTGTTACTAAAGTTTTGGTTTGAAATTCTAATACATAATACTAATTCTTCTAAGGTATGAAATTTTTTGTTTTTTGTTTTATTTTAATTCCTATTTTATATTTTATTTTATTTTTGAATGAAAAGCTATTTAGAAAATAATCTTTATCATTCATCATCTTTATAATGGTATTGAATTTAGTTTTTATATTTAATAACACTATCTTCATCTCTATAAGAAATAAATTTATACTTTAATTTTTGTTATTACTCTAATTTTTTTTAAAAAAATAATTTCAAATGCAACAATTTTTACATAGACAAAAAAATTATTTAAATTTTTATTTAAAAATATTGTGTGCTGATAAGAGTCAACCTCGTTATAAATATGTGATAACATTGAGTTAGTATTTTGTTAGTTAATTTAGTACTTAATAGATAAAAATTAATACGAAAAATTAAGCTTTTTACTTACTTTATTAGAGTCAAAATCTTAATAAATTCTTTTTTAAAAATAAATTAATTTTAATTATGATAAATTTTACAGGAACTAAAGCTTATTTATCTATATTAAATTAAATTTTTAATTTTTTGAAAAGAAATGTATATACATTCAAAGCTATATTGGTTCATAAACGTAGGCAAGCTTTCCTGTTGCGGGCTGCAAATGGTTGGATTAGTGCTGCATTTAATTAATAGAATTTTTTTTTTCTATAACTATCACATATTTTAAAATAATGCTCGCTATGATACTTCTAAATTTGAGAGAGTATTATATATTTTTTTAAATTAAGAGTTGTAAATTTTTTTATATCTTAAAAATTAAAGAGTATTTATAATTTTTTAAAATAAATTACTAACTTCACTTGTAAAAAAATATAGAATATCCTATCCTATCATTATATTTTATAGAGTAGAGTAGGATTTATCTTTTAAAATTATTGCACATTTAAAATTTTATATGCAACTACATAAAAGATGACCCTGTATGCAAGTCTCTCACCAAGTATATATATAATTTGGAGAGGGAAGAAACCCATACTTATATCCTCACAAAGTAGTTTTTTTTAGAATCCCATGACTCATACGTCATTAGACAACAGTTTGACCATTATGTACAAACATACAGTCCCCAAAGGATTCCTTTTTAGTAATTTTTACTTTTAAATCAAGATTAAGTATTTTAGTTATTTTAGTTCTTAATTTGTTTTATTTTTAATTTTTAATCCTGTTTTAGATGGGTAACATTTACCAAACTCATCGACTAAGGTGAGATTACTAAATTTAAAAAAGTATTTTTAATTTCTAAATTTAAAAAAGTATTTTCTTAAAATGACAAGGAGCTGCTACACACACCTGGGTATCATATCCTTGTGGCAACTGTGAAATGAAATCATGAGCATTGGCAGCTTTAGCAGCCTCCACAATCTCTTCATGAGTAGCATCTTCTCTTCCAAAAAGTATGTTCTCTTTAATGCTAGTTGCAAACAAAGCAGGTTCTTGACTCACCAAACCCATTTGAGATCTCAACCATTTGAGTTGCAACCTATGAATAGCCACACCATCAAGACGTATCTCTCCCTCAATAGGGTCATAAAATCTTTGCAGAAGTGCTATCACAGTGGATTTTCCTGAACCACTCTCTCCAACCAAGGCCATTTTTTTCCCAACTGGAATCTTGAGACAAAAATCATTTAGAATAACACTATTTGGCCTTGATGGGTACACAAATTTAACATGATGAAATTCCACTTCGCCTAAAACCTTCTCTAAAATCTCTCCAACCATATTTTCAGAATCAATCTTAGGAACTCTTCTTATCATTTCCATTATGCGTTCCCCAGCAGCACATGCTTCTGAGAAGTACTTCAAATCAGATAAACAACTACCTAATGCCCTGTAATCCACAAATTAAATAAAAAAGGAAAAAATAGTGAGTAATAAACACCATTTAATCTCACAAATAATGAAAAAAAAAAGAGATAAATTGAATGGAATAAGATAAAGGGTTGGTATAAATTACGTTCCACCAACACACATGACTGCTCCAACTGCAAACACAGTTCCTCCTTTAGCACCGTGGTACATGACCAATCTACTTCCATAATATGCCATGAAAGACCATATAGCAAAGACAACACCTTTGCTTCCAATGGCCATGCCTCTAGCTAACCCTTGTTTCAACCCCAACTTAACTGATCCTTGCAGAGCATTAGAGAAAGCATCCATGGTCTTGCCTTCCCCCACAAAGGAATAAACGGTTCTGATGGAAGATATTGCTTGTTCTGCTATTGTACCAGCCTTACTGTACTCTTTTCTTATCTTTCTAGCCAACCTCATCAAAATCTTACCATAAATTAAACCCGGAATCACAAGAAGAATCACAAAGGGCAACCCCACAATGGCCAATCTCCATAACAATGCAAAAGCCACTATGTAGCTCCCAAGAAACCTAAAGAAATTCATCAGTAAATTTGGAACCTTGAAGTTCCAAAAAGATGTCAGTATCACAGATGTAATTAAAACTCCAATTTTTTTTGTATCATCAACAATATTGCACAGAATAAGAAATTATATACCATATATTTTTATTAAAAATTATATAAATCTATGCAATTCAATAAATATAAATCTATGCAATTCAATAAATATTAAATATTGTAATTTTTAATAAAAAATATTATATATAACTTGTTATTCTGTACAAAGTTAGAAAAATTAATAAAAATTCAGATGAGAAAAACTAAAATAAACAAAAATTATGAATATTTGACACCTTTTCACTGAGTACATCTTGAATTATGAGGCTATCATTAGAGATACAGGTGATAACTTCTGATGTGCTTGAGACATGCAAATCAAAGTATGCTACGTCTTGTCTGAGTACTGCTTTTAAATACCTTACTCTCATTCTTGCAGCTTGTCTTTCACCTGTTCTTGTCCAACAATAGCCCTCTAACATTTCCAAAAGTGAAGGCAAGGGAGTACAATGTCAATACTCTTGTTTCATATAAAATGAAAGAGAAACACATGTTCAATTTAACTTATTTTATTTTTAAATTCAATCAGCTTTGGAGGAAAAAAGTATAATTTCTCTCGATTTAATCTTTTCTAAATTTGTAGGAAGGCAAAATTAAATGTACAAAATTTAACTGCAATATTATAATTCCTGCTGGTATTCTCAATAATTTTCATAATAATTATATTTAGTATTAATAATTAATCCACAGCATTAAAAATGAGCACGTGTGAAACTACAATTGTGATCAAAGTAGCACCTATCTTATTGTATCTTAGTTTTCTTGAAATTAAAATCTTAAACAAATGGAAACTCACCAAGGAAGGAAGCAAAAAAAGACACAGTAGCCAAATATGACAACGTCAGTGAATACTGCATCACATTAATAAAGGCAAATCCAACAAATCATCAGCATATGTTTTAAAATAGAGATGAAGAGACAGAAAAAACAGAGAGAGAGAGAGAGAGATTTAACCTTATTGACGTTTTGAATGAAAGTGCTGGGTGCCATTGTTAAAACGCTACCAATGTTGTTCATAATTCGACTAGTGATATATAAGCAAAAAGGGGTGGTGAAACCATCACCAATAGCACCCAAGAAACCAAAAACCATAAAAACCCAGTCTAAGCTATCAGCATGCATGAAAATGGATTGAATGGACCCATTTTTTGCCTTTGGAACCATTTCAACACTAACACAGTTGTGCTTCCACACGCATTCCACTCCACACCTTCCACCCCAGAACAAATCAGCACTTATATTGAATGGAGAAGCAATATGGGAATCTTAATTAGGATCATATCAAATTTTAAATGTTATATCAAGACACGAGGAAAAGGAGAACTAAAGTTAACCTTTATTTAGTTTCTTTTTTATTAAGATACGTCAACTATTCTGATATTTGTAGATTAGATTATTTTCTTCAAAAGATATGTATAGCTGTTGAGATACTTATTCATCTGTTATTTAGCCTTTTGTTTCTAAATAAATCTTGAACCCAGAAAAAAACAAGATTTCTTAGAACTTTCTTATTTTTCACAATGAATTTAACTTATCATTCTCTTCCCAAGATTGAATACTAACAATTTTTTGAAAGAGAAGAGTTTTTAAACTCATACCAATATAAAAAATCATATCCTATTTTTTAAATATGTGTCTAAATAAATATAATAAAAACTTGTATATTTTAAAATTTTATCAATGTGTATGTGACATATTAATAATTTAAATATTATAATTTTTAATACAAAATTAATTTTTTACTGTATACCCTTAAATGCAGCCGTCTCGAAATTAAAGATGCATGGGCTTTCCAGTATTTGCACTTGCAGAACCGCTACTTATTTATTGCACCATCATATTTCGACTTGCACACTTTTCAATTTGCCCTCGGAATGAGGTTATATATATATATATATATATATATATATATATGAAATTTTTAAAAAATTGCGCAAATATAAAAATTCAAAAATTATTAGATATAAAATAATAAAAAATTTTGAAATATTAAAAATTAATGTTATATAACTATAGTCCACCTAATATTTTAAAATTTTAAAAATATTTATATATTTTAAATAAATTATTAATTTCTGCTATTTATTATATATATTTAATATAAAATTAATGATAATAATTATTCTACATAAAATGTTCTCTTAATTTTAAAAATTAGAAAATGATTAAAAATATTAAATAAAAATTAATTTTTATTATATTTTAATATTTACTTTTTATAAAAAATAAAAAATGAAAATTATATATATTTTTAATTTAATTAAAATAATTTCTTATTAATATATTCATATATGTAATGATAATTATATTCAAACTTGATAAACAACCGTAGAAAACAGAATAGTTTGAAAATTTTCTATGTTTATAATTTTTTCAATTATTAATTCTTTATGTTTTTAAAATAACAATTATAGATATTACTATTTTAATGTTTATTTTATAAAGTGATAAAAAATATTAAAAAATTATTAGAAGAATAAGCTCAAAAAAATATCTATGACAGATAACTATTTATCACTGTACTGCAGAACCTCTATTTATTTATTTAGACCATTAATATATTTTATAAAAGAAATTTTATTTGAATTAAAAATGTTTATATTATGATATACTACTTTCTTTAGTAAATTCTTTATATATAAAATTCCAACTTAAAAGTTTGCATCAAAAACTAAATATAAACCATTTAAACTATGCACGAATGATTCGAATCCTTTGATTCCTTTCATCATATCTATATTATGCTATAATTTTAATATAAAAAAAATTAATATAATATGTAATATGAGTTTTAGTTGTGGTATTTTTAAAGCCTTTTTACCCAATTTTTAATCCATTATTCTAACACTAAACTCCTTTATTCTGTTTCTTCCTATCATAACAGGTGATGAGGTGCTTTCTTCAACCTCAAGATGCATCAAACCTATATATGCTTCCCACTATCTCCCATTTCCTAACACTTTGCCTACCCCAATCTGCATCTTTATGCTTTGTTTGGAAGAGGGTTGAAAAACGATTATTTTAATAAGGAATATTGAAATCGAAAAAATGTAAATAAAAATGAAATAGAGTAGGAATAATGTATTGCTTGAATGAATGGAAATTAAAAATAAAAGAAGTGAATAAAAAGTATGAAAATAACTAAATAAATTATAATAATTTAAAAAAATTAACTTACAAAAAATCATGAACGCTGTATTTCCTGCTTCAAGAACAAAGGAATTATTCAAAGTGATTTCCATTGAAAATTTTGTATTTCAGCTCTCTATTGCAACCAAAACACAAACTTTTTATTATCTTTTCATTTCAGAGTTTCCATTTCACTATACTCAGTTTAATGTCTCCAATTATTCACACCTCGTTTCTTCCACTTTACTACTACACTTCAATTTTCTCAATCAGCATCAGAACCTTCAACACCAAATTAAAGTGATTATGTTTAAGCATCCAACTGAACTTCCACTTCCCTCTGGTTTATTGCCTTTGTAATCCACCATGCCCTTACTTATACGTCACTAATGACGATGGAATACCACTAATTTGGAAACTTTCTGTGAACTGTGTGCGTTAGGTATAATCCAAATAAGAAAAGATATTTTTCTTGACTGATAACTAATTTTATTAGGGTTTAAATTTTTATATAAAAAAATACGCAGTTATTATATTGAAGTTATTATAATAAATAATTTTTTAATAAAATTTTACTATTATTAACTGTTTATCCTTAATCTTAAAAGTTAAAATTAACAAAATTTATTTTATTATTATCTTCATAATTACGTAGAGTGCATATCGATTATCAAGCAAATTATTTGTATCATAAATATATTTATATTCAGAATATTCGAAAGTTAAAACATATTTATCAGATTTGCTCTCATCCTTGCCATATCTCATCCCATGATCCATTTTAAAATTAGTTTAAAACATAATTAAAAGAAAATTAAATAAATGACGTTTTATGAAGTTAAAATGATCTATTATCAATTTTTTAAAAATTATAGAATCTTTTCTAAAAAAAATATAATAAACTTCCCTTAACAATTTTGAATTTTTAAAAAATAAATTAATATATTCAAATTATTAAAAATGACAAAACAACATTGAACAATTATTTATTAGAAATATTTATAAATTATTTTTTTATGTATGTATATATTGTGTAACCAAGAGTTGTTTGGTTTTTTTTTTATTACACCGCAATCTTGGGATAAAGACGTAAAGTGTGTGTTTCATCTCTTTGTAGCATACATTTGAGAGAATTTACGAAAATTTTATTTAATAAATTTATGAAAATAGTTTATAATTTTTATAAATTAAATTTTTTATACAAGTTACTAAAATAAATTGTTTAACTTATTACAAAAATTTATTAGCATAAACTTCTATATAATATATAAGATTTATGATACATAAAAGAAGTTGCTTTACGTGTTCATTTTGGTGCCTTTAATCTTGAATTTTTAATATACCTATGGCTTAATATTTCTCCCTATGTTAGATTAAAAATAATAATAAACAGTGGTAGATAGAAAGTTTTCCCACGCTAATGAAAATTGACTTTCTTTCAAGCAAACACAAGAATAATTGACTTCATACATTTGATAGATTAAATAAAAAAACTTACCAAAATCTAAACTCCTTTTTTTTTTTTTATTTAGATGGTGAGATAATCTTTATGACACAAATTTTGTAAAAAATTATCCTCAATTGTAGTCAATATTTATCTTTGATCAACATGATGACTTTAATTTTATATAGCTTTCAATATATATTGAGCCTTTAGGGACTATTTGTTAAGCTTCTATTTATCATCACCAAAATTGCTGTAATATCTTGGCAGAGCTACAATATTCACAAAAATTAAATTTAGGTATAAATTTGGCACATGCTTCACGTAATTCAATGTTATAATATGCAATTAATATTGGTTTGAATACATACATCACTGCTTTGTCAAAGTTTTTGCTTTGCACAAAATAAAGATTTTCCTATTAAAAGTGAAATGAGAAAAGATTACTAAAAAATTAATGACGTATTACACAAGAATCTTTAACAAGACTATTCTATCCTTCAATAAAAGTAGCTCCACTTCCCACTAATTATAGGAGTGATGGTATTTTCATCATCATTCAATTTTTAATTTCTTGGGTCTTTCTTTAATAGAGTTTAGACACTCGTCTTTATGACTATATGATGGAATACACTAAGATGTGCCCCCATTTCTTGATTAAATTGATAACTTTCTAATGAAACATCTTCCAATTTTCATGTATTATATTATGTGACTTTGTACTCTCATTTTTTTTTTTGCAGGATCACACACATATAATTGTAAAAAAGTATATATATTCTTATATCAATGTGAATTTAAAAACTATTACTCGATTAGAGTTTTTTATTTGATTTATATTTATTGATGAATAAAATAATTTATAATATATTAAATATACACTAAATAAAAAATTCAGATATAATATAAGAATTTTTAGATTTATATTATTGTAAGAAAATTTTGCTCTGAATATATACACTAGCAAATAGAGTAACATAAGATTTAATTCTAATATAATAAAGTTAGATATATGATAGCTAACTTAATGTATTTTTCATACATTTTTCATAATCAATTTTTCTCTCACGAGCTTTTATTTTCCCTTTTGACTCCAACACCTTTTAATTTACGTCCAAAGCCTTAAGATAAAAAGTTACTATAAATGCGTAAAAAAAGTGTTGTATCAAGTTTTCAATTGATTGCAACCAATCTTAAATATATATGACCTATAGCCTAACACCTCTTCCTATGTTAGTAAAACCAAATGAATGGTGGTAGAAATATGGGTTACCTTACACTATTCACATTGACTTATTATTATTATTATTATTATTTTGTTATTTGTATATTCAATTCAATGAATGCTTTTCCACATATCAAAGGGGTGTTTTTAACTCTACTTTTTTATAAATATTTATTGTTACTCTTCATTTATAATATTTTATTTAAAATTATTATTATTATTAATCAATAAAAATAATTTATATACATTTTATTTAAAGATGAGTGACAATAAAGTCACCCTATTGACTTATAAGCGTAGATACAGAGTGATTATATTTTTAATAAACATATTTTAATTTATATATTTTTAAAATAATAAATTAATATTTTAATACATTTTTGTTAGTAAGTATTTACCTTTTCCCTTCCTTTCTAACACCTAATTTCGAAACATACTCATCGTTAGGCCTCATAAAGAAACAGTCTCTTTCTCAAATCTCAATTTCTTTGTGTACCTTTCCGTTCCTTTCATGCGTGTCTTTTTTTTTTATTAATAATACACTCTTAATTATTATTTAGAGTTTATTTATAGTTATAAAAAACACGTGAATTTAATTTTTTATTCTTATATTAATGTTTCTTTTTATATTTACTAGGGCTTTGTGCTTCTGCCCGCTCAAATTTATGATGGTTCTTATCTTATCGTTAAATATTTTAATATTTTGCAAATGTTATTTTAATTAATTTATCAAATGTGAGTTATATATTATAAAATTTTAGTTAATTTGATCAATCTGAAACTTCAACATCTTGCGTGTGGGGCAGCACGTGGAAGTGCTTGTGCTTTTGGTGGCATCGTCTTCAAATAATTTCACGTTGCATTGGGAAAATTTTATAAAATAATTATTAAAATATGAATATATTTATCATTAAAAGATATTTAATATTTTATTTAATTAACATAAAATTATTCATTAACTATATTGGTTGTCGACTAGGTCCCTTTCTCCACCACCTTTTTCTTATCCAGCACAATAATAAGATTATAATTTTGCATACCTTTCAGCCACCCCCACCCCCCACTGATTATTATCTAGAGCATTAGTGGCCTCATCCAATTACATCATCTCATTGTTTTACGAAATAAATGCTCTTTGAATGGATATTTTTATGTATTGTATGAGTATTATTAATATAAAGTAAATATTTTTAAATACATTTAATTATATTAAATATAATTACATTAAAGAGATGCAAAATCACCTTTACTTATTAACGTAATTTATCAACATATAAATCAAACTTATAATTTTTAGTTTATCTAAAATTGAAATTTAAACCTAAATTAAGTTTGAAATTAAAACAAAGAAAGAGTATTAAAAAGAATAAAACATAGTTAAAAATTAAATACTTAGTATAAAGGAAGTAATATGACATAATAAAAATAAGAATAATACCTAAAAAAATCTCTCATTCAATAATAAAAAATGAATATACTTAATAAAAACATTTAAATCAATAACTATATTAATTAATCTTACATTTTATAAAAAGTTTTATATAAATGTTGAAATTTGACACATTGTATAAATGAGTTATATTATTTTATTTAACTCATACTGTTCATATTTATATAGTATTTTTTATTTAAAATGTCGTATTTATGTATTACCTTTTATTCAATATTTATACTCATGGTTGCAATATAGGATGTACTCTCTCATCCCCTCACCACGCTCTTTCATGCATGCAAGAAAATTAAGAGAGGCTGACATTGTTGGCTTTGTGATCTTAGCTTTGCAAATGCACAATGCTTTTTCTTTATGCTTCCACTAAGTAAATCGACTTTTGACTCAGAAATGCAATGTGCTTCCTCAGTGACCGAAGATGATATGACTATGTATATCTACCATCTATGATTAATATTGTCACAAACAAACACTATCTATTATTGTTGATTTGTGAGATCCACTTTATCCCCACTAATGCTATCACTAAATCAATTTTGATTGAGAATCTCCGAATCATCACATTCTGCCTAGCTGCCACTGCCAGGTTTGTGGAGTCTTATCGAGCTAGCGTGTTAACTTTCAATCTTTTAAACCTATATTCAAGAGTATATAATAAAAACTAACAAATAACGAATCATAGTGTTTGGTATCATTAATATATTAAGTTGGTAATTAACTTTGAAACCTGCCATTTGACAAGTTTAATGGTCATGCTATTGCTAGCAGCATCTACAATCTACAATGACCTTGATAGTGCCCACCAATGTAACATCCTCGTTTTTATATTTATTATTACAACATTGAATGTTAGTTATATTTGTGAAGTTATTTAAATTTTAGAGAGTTTAAATTATGTAGGTTGTAGGATATCTCGTTGTGGCGAGAAGAGCATCCAGAAATCTGACATTCTGATGCTCTCTCGCTGTAGTTATAATTCTCTCGTTGTAGCGAGAAACTCTCACTGTAGCTAGAATGACAGACAACAAAGTGCAATTTTGTCTGATTTTTTCGCTACAGCTACAACGAGAGAAGGGCTCGCTGTAGCGAGAATTTATCGTTGAAGCGAGAAATGGCTCGTTATAGCGCGAATGTTGCGAGTCTAGGGGTATTTAAGGGTTTGCAAGTTAAAAAACTTAGATTACAATCCAAGTTTCGAGCTCTCCCTTGTTCTCTCGACCCTTAACCCTCTCTTCTCAGAAAATCTCTCCAAAACCTCAACTTTCTTTCAAAGCCAAGCTTGGGAACTTCATCAATCAACTCCAAGTAAGTTCTTGGAGCTTTGTTTTCTCTTTTTGGGTGTTTTCTAAGTTTCTCCTTTCTCAAAATGTTCTCTTTTGTGATATCTAGGAAGATTTTGGTCCTTTCACCTAAAACCCTTCACAAAATCTCTTTCAAAACTTCGTCTCAAGGTAAGGAGGGCTCTATTTTGTTATTTTAAACATAATAATTATTTTGTAACAATGAGAGTACTTTATATATGTGTTTTAGTATGATTCTTATTTAATTATTATAAAAAATATGTTTGGTTGATTTTGGGTGTTAATTATATGTTTGAGTAGTCCGTTTGTTTAGAAATTAGTTCGGAAGTGTTTTACTAAGCATGATCTCTTATTGAATAATGAGTTTAGTACGAAAGAGAGTATGAGATAAGTGTAAGAAGCTGAATGATTCTAGTGTGAATAGTTACAGAGGTACACTGGGGGTATAGAATTCGGAGACGATAGGGAATCTGGAGGAAATGTAGGGTGGTGAGCGACATTCGCGCATGTGTACACATTCTTTCTGAGAGCGAATGCGCCACATGGCCTCACACTCGTTTTCTGACTAGACTCCCGACTATACCTTTGCTAAGGGGCCGTTATTGTATATGTTGTATCCGTATACATGGGCTAACCGACGACTATTTACCTAGTTGTGTAAGACCTCAAAAACTGCTGGAGGCATCATATAATTGTGCTCACAGTGTACTGAATATGCGTATCCGAAAGAGAGCAACATAATAATTATGAATATGTGTATGTCTAATATATTGCTTTGAGATTTATGTTATTATGATTCCTTGTATTCCATGACCATGATTGTGCTGTTATGTTAGTCTTTAAAGTAATATAATGTTTTAAATGATAAGATAGGTACCCATCCTTACTGATAATTTCAGGGAACCAGAATGACGAATCTGCAGGGAAGAGTTAGGCTGGTAGATAGTTCTGTAGACTTTAGATTAAATTACGTATTTAATGAATACCAACGTGTAAATCATTTTAAATTTGTTGTATTAGTAGAGAATGACCCTAGGGTTTATGTCATGATAGAGATGGATTTTGCTTGTAGTATTCCATTCGACTTTCCTAGGAGTAGGATACACCAAACCTTATGTGTATATATGTATAGGGGTACTGTTAGAACCCCAACAACCCTTATCTCTTTATTAAATTGTTTTTTAACATACTGTTCAAAGGATATGTAAGTATGGAAAAAAATCAGATTTTTGGTGTAAGGGGATAATCCACGTATACTTTGAGAAATCATCAACCAAACATGCATAATATCAAAATTTACCAATAGATAAAATTGGGGCAGATCCCCACAAGTCACAATGTATTTTTTCAAAGATAGTAGAACTAGAGTGTTTAGAAGAAGAAAAAGGTAATTTATTAAGCTTTCCCAATTGGCAACTATCACAAAGATGTTCAGATTTTATTTTTCCTACTACATCAATTAACCCTTTATTCTTTAGCAATTGTAAAGCTATAGTTTGAGGATGTCCTAGACATTGATGCCAAGTGTTTGCTGATCCAGATTTGAAACGATGAGAGTAATGCAATTCAGGTGAGGGAGAAAGTACATATAGATCACCCTTGCACCTCCCTGTGATCATGGGTTTCCCTGTTTCTCGTTTCTTAACACAAAAATCAACATTAGAAAATTCACAATTAACAGAAAATTGCGTAGTTAATTGACTTATAGAGAGTAGATTCTTTGTTAAGGAAGGAACTAGTAAGACATCATGAAGGGGTTGAGTAACATTCCTTTGCTTGATGAAGGAGTCTCCAATACCAAGTATTGATAGTGAAGAACCATCACCAATAAGGACAGAATCTGTACCTGAGTATTTTTTTATGTTATTAAGCATACTTGGTTTACCTGTCATATGGTTGGATGCTCCAGTGTCAGAGGTCCATTCTGTTTCAGCTATTGTGTTATCTAGGGTGAGTGCAGCTAGAGCTTGTGGTATATCATCAGATTGAGCCGGCTTCTTAGGCACCCACCAACATATTTTTGCTCTATGACCCATTCTGCCGCAATATTGACGCTTTTCATTTCAATATAGCTCGCGTTTTTTAGGTGTCATACGGCGCTCTCCCGGTGGTGGGGGACGAGGCTGCTGAGTGGTCAAGGTAGAATGAGTTTGATTACTTGGTGTTTGGGCCTGAAATCCTCACCCGGTTGATGTGAAAGATTGAGAAATCCCACGATGTCGTGAGGAAGACTGGTGAGATCTTTGTTGGTGTTGATCATAGAAAGCCATGTGAGGAGTAAGTGGGTTTTGCATATTGGTGTGGCTAGAGAACCAACTGCGTTGCTGATCAAGGCTCTAGAGTTGCAAGATCAGCTCTGAGAAGGAGGGCTTAGGAGGCTTTAGCATTGTTGTTGTGAATGTTTCATAGTCAGGGCCAAGGCTAGTGAGGAGATAGAAAACTTTTTCTTTATCTAGGATAGGTTTCCCAATAGCTGCTAAGTTATAACATAGGCCTTTAAAGATGTGAATGTGCTCTCCGATGGTGCGATCATTCTCCTTGCAGAGGTATGTAATTTGTTGACGAAGTGTGAATTCACGTTCTTGAGAATCTTCCGCATATGCATCCTTAAGTGCATCCCAAACTGCATGAGACATGTCTAGGCCAACAACAAGACCAAGAGCTTCTTCAGAGAGTGTTCCGATTATCCATCCTCAGAGGAGGCGATCTGCCTTGCGCCAGGTGACAAAAGCGTCAGTTAATTTTGGAATAAATATTTCTGAGTTTGTAGTGTTATTAGAATCTAGAGTGGTGTATTGAGTAGAGGCAGGATCTTCATTTGTGAGGTGACCAACCAGATCTTGGCTTTCTGCAAGTGCTAGAGCTTGTTCACGCCACAATGGGTAGTTTGTTGGTGTGAGTGTGATGAAGTTACCAACATTGAGGGATAAGGATGTCATGGTGTTCACAAAGGCTCTTGATACCAAGAAGAAAATTGGAAAAATAGATGAATTCTATATTTCACAAAAATAGAAACGTGAATACTGCAGAAAACATAATGGAAAAGGGAATATATAGTGCAGATGGTGATAAGGGCTGATTTCTAAATAAAGTAGCAAGTGATGCTACATAATTTGAAATAAAATAATTCTAATTATAGTTGATTTGCTGCATCAGATTTTCTTAATAGTGACTGATGTGTAGCAATCTGTTTCTTTAATAATAGCTTATCCTTTTTGCTCCTTATCTGTCAATTTGATCTCATAAATTGTGTCTTGCTTGATATTGTTAATAAAAAGGTTAAATTATTCATTTAATTTTTATAATTAATACTCATTTTTAATTAGTTTTGTACTTTAAAAAAGTTATGTTTATAAAAAATGTTTTGTTATATTTTATTCTCTTTATTATAATACTGTTAACCTAAGAAAACATTAAAATATAATAAAATACTTATGTAAAAATTACAATATAAATTTTTTTAAACATAAAAACTAATTCATAAATGTGTCAAATATATAGACTAAATATATACTTTAATTAATTATAATTTTAAAAGAATATAATACACTACACTTAAACTTGTGATATAACTCAATATTATCTTTATAAAATGTGATTCTTAACTAATAAATAATTTTATTTAATTTTATATTTTTACTTTTTATACTGCCTAAAAAAATGAATAAAATATTAATGTTAGCATTTTTATTATAATTTTTTAACATGTAACTATCTCAATTTATATATAATATATTTTTTATGATAATATATTAACTTTTATAAAATTTTTGAGATATGAAATTATATTATCATTCAAAACTTTAGATGATTAATTTTATCACACAAGTAAAATTATAATTTTTTTTATCATGATATAACTAAAATTTAAAATCTTATTAGTTGATTTTTATGGTATTTTTTTTATTAATTAGATGTTTTATCTATAAAAAAATATTTATATATATCTAGTCTTTTTTCAACCATGATAAAAAAATTTGTGTCTTACATAAATTATTCTTATTATTAACTATAGTTATGATTTATTAGTTAATTTATGTATTCATCAAATTAATAAATTATATATCAATAAATATGAATGATTTGGAACTATAGATAATGATCTTTAACTTAAATATACAAGTTTTTAGTCGTTTAAAATTTTATAATTATTTTATTTGTTATCTCATTTTTAATTTTCATTTAGATAAATTTATCTAATTTTTTTAAAAAATATATATTTAATCTTTATAATTTATACTTATTTATAAATTAATTATATATTAAAATAAATTTATATTTTAATTTCTGCATAAGTACTTTATTATAATTTAATCTCTACTATTATAACATCGTTAATAACTGCTACTAAAACTTAAATGATTTAGATCAGATCATAACAAAGTACTAGTATATAGATTAAAATATAATCTTTTGAAATCTACATATTAATTCATAAATTAAGTGTCTGAATTAAATATATAATTTAACTGAGTTAAAAAAAAAAAAGGACAATGCTTCCGTAGGAACGTAGTGCCTTTTTGTAACACTGCTAAAATCATATTTCTATTTTCTTTTCGCATGTTAACAGTATCCACGTGTTTTCGTACTAATTAATGTGTCATAACTGATTTTTTTTTTTATTGAACCCTAATAACTATCATAATAGTAACACGTCTTCATTTATATACCTTTTGTTTTGTGAAAATTAGATTATTAATATAAAAATATATTCTAACATTATGATGCGTTATATAAAGACACAGTTTTATTAGTCTTAAAAATTACATACTAATAATATAATATATTATGTAATCAGTATAAATTTATGATATTTATATTAATAATGTAATTGTTATTAAATAAAAATTATACCAATAGTTAAGCAATTTTAACATATAGTAGCAATATTCAGTACATGAAGAACGAAATAACCGAGCATTATTGTTCAGTTCCTTTTTAACTTTTTCAGTGCAAGTTTTGATGGTTCCCGTGATCCCAGTATTATTAAAAGGAGATAAATATATCAATTGATTAGCATTAGCATCATCAAGATCAGATGAATTTATGTTGTAAGTGGAAACAAGCACACTTCTAGTTAGAAGCCCCGTTCAATTTTCTAGTTTGTGTCCTTGCTTGTTTTCTTAAGTTGCATGCTTCTTAACCAAACTTTTAAAATTTTGTTCTTATCACAATGCAATGAGTATTCTAGCAATGATGAATTGGGCATATTTTGCATAGAAACAGAAAAGTTGGAGAACACCATATGCTGAGTATTCTTTCTAATATTTGTCTTTCAGTAGATTGCGTTCGTTACTGATCAATGATATATGTATACTTCACAATATTTATATTTATAATTTTTTCTCTGACTTTGTAACACCTTTTCCATATTAGATCTAAGACCCATCTAGATTATCAACAGCAATTGTATTTACCATGCCTTGCCATCTAATATTAACCTTCCAAATCCTGATATTAAAAAAAATGATGAGTTTTAGGAAACCAATTATTTGTCATTTTTGTGATGACCATTAACCTGGTTGAAAAAGCCTGTGTCATCCTTCTAATCTGGAGTTTTATTTGCTTGTGCTAGCAGCCTTGTACATCCTTTATTATCAATGACAACAAGGAAGATTTTGCATCTTCATCTCCTGTGTTCATCCCCTGCCATAATTAATAAGAATCGTAACTTCAGAACTATGTTTCAAAAACTCAACCCTCACCGACTCAAATAAGTAAATAACACTCTTTCCCACCATCCCATTTTTCTTTTGCACAAATAAATGACTATATTTGTTTCTTGCGAGTACATGAGGCTTTTGATCTATGTAAAAAACACTCTTTTTGTATGGTTAATTTTGTTATGATATCATATACAGCTCACATAAATCATAGAGAACTTACATGATTGGGGTGCAACATTGTTGGGGGGATATTCATATTGTGCAATTCCACAAGTCCTCTGTTAGATGATTTAATTTCAATTTGTGTAGAGAAAATAGCTGAAACGGGACGATGATCAGAGAACTTGCTTTCACTTCGAAAATAGTGAAGTTGCTCCACTCCTTTACCATACCATAGGATTCTATCACACCTGCCAACATACCCCATAATTAAGTAGTTTACTTTGTTTAAATTTCTTGATATTGTAAACAAATTCATGTATGATGTAACAAATCATGGCCTTGATAATAATAATGATAATATATACCATGCTGGAGTTCTTTGCTTTTCCCAGGATTTGCTTGGAAGGGCACCAGAGTATCTATTGGAAGTGGAGGATGAGTATTTATATGTGGGGGCGAATTCAATGTTACCTTCTTTCCAACCCTCGAAAACTCCACCTTCTTCTAGTTCTTTCTGAAGTTGGTCATATTCTTGTAAAGCCTTCCAATCTTGCTTTCTTATTAATTGCCTCGCAAAGTTGTCCTCCAAATATAACCTATAGTTGAGATCCCCCAACCAAAATATTCGGCTGGTACATACACAATTAAATGCTATATGGTTAACACCATTTCAATATAAACAAAAATATCATCCCTTAATTTATGTATTTTCTTCTTAGAAGACAAATGAATAAATGAATGTTGAAGAATCTATGATTTTATATATAGTTAGTTAAATACTAGAGTATTGGAATGACCTGATTTTATAATGCTATCTAAGATTTCACTTACTGGATAAGATAAAATTTAAGTGTAATATATTATAAGTATTATTGATTCTTTTTGATCAAAATTAGATTTTATTTTTATAACGAGTATTAACCTTTAATATTATTGTGTTGACTTTTTATACTAATTATTATTACATAAATTATCAAAATAAAATTTTGATTTTAATTAATAAAACAATACTAACAGTACTTACAATATTGGATATAAATTTTGTGTAATTATTTCACCAGCCATGTTGAAGTTTAATTTGAGTGGACCTAGACGTCACATAATTGATAATGACATGCTATATACATTGAAGGGCTTAAAGAAAACAATTGAAAAGATCCCAATATTATGCTTTAGTTTGATAACTCTTATTCGTTGTTTTAAATTGTGGTGTCAGCCTCTGCGATTGAAACACCTCATTTTATAAACGTGTCACAGCTACAATTGTGAGCTTATCATTAGCATAACTCTACAATTTTTCCAAACCTTTGCGTAATACGCAACTTCAGCTATAATTTAAAACCATATTCCCAATTATTGGATTGGTATTAATTGCAAATTGTGTGGTAGAATTAATTTTCAGGTTGGTTTATATCAACTGAAAGTGGAAACAGTTCAAAATTCTCTGACTAACAGACAAAATTAAGAATAATTTTAAAATTTTCCATCTTTTCTGTCACATCCTTCTAATTACCACATAAAAAACTGTTAAATATTTTTATAATTTAAAATAATAAATACATGCAGGTATTTTTATTTTAATACTTACTTTATGAAACAATTAAATAAATAACTAGAATAATGAGAGAATAATGAGGAATAGGAAATAAATAATGAGAGTGATTTAGAGTAGAGACAAACTTACTCGTGGCCTAAAATGGTTAGAGGATAATGATGATGTTTTGTGGTCCTAGGGAAGCATGTTCTCCTAAAAATCTCCAAAACCTGATGGTTTCTTCTTCCTTCATCACCCTTCTTTTCCCCTGATGCTAAGTGTGCCACCACAAAACAAAAACTTGTCCCTTCAATTGACATGCTAACTGCCACTGATCCTTTGTTTCCCAAATACCCCATCACTCCACATGCCACTGAACAAACTCTCACATTTGAAATGCAATATTTTCTCATCAACTCTTGCCTTAGCCACACACTAATGAACACTCCAACCATCTTTTTACTTGCCACTAGTGTGTACTTGTTGCTACCTTCACTGTTTTCATACTTGTAATTATTTTCATCATCGTTTGATGATATTGATGAATTCAACATTGGTGTCATCCATGGGCATCCAAACTTGGTATTTAGTGTTCTTCCTATTAGTTGGTTCCATCTTGTTGCCACACCTTGGTCCTCTGCTCCTATCACATTTAAAGTCTTTAAAGGTACAATCTCTTGAAACCTGAACAAGATTGAAAATATATTAAAGCTTTTTATTTTCATTTTCACTCTAATAAAGGAAAATTATTCTAATAGAGAATCTTGAGGATTATCTAAATTAATTAGACTTAAAAAGCTGACAACTATGAAATGAGCACAGGTAATTTTTTATATCCCTAGTTAGATATATACATACCCAAGAACATATATATCTGCAGCATTCTTTAGATTTAACCACTCATCCAAGTCAACAGCTAAGCTTCCAACTGGAGATCTGCCAGCAACATTCCAAGTACCAACAAATATCCTGAACCATGCACAAAATTATATGCCACACACACACAAAAAAGGCTAAAAACATTATATTAATTAACATCTTTGAGTGTGTGTGTGTATATATATATATATAGTAATTAAATGATTTACCTTAGCTTGTTTGTTGAAATGCATGGATCCAATTCCAATGACCGAAGAGAAAGATCGATCCTGTAGTCATCACTTTCATTTTCTACTCCATCTGAAATATAGAGTGCAACCCCAAGATTTAAGTCATGTCTTTGAAAGTAGAAGAACATAGATACATGGAATATATATAAAATAATGAACCTTCAATTTCTTTGAAACCATATGATGGCTTGTCTTCCTTTTGCTTGCTACTAAACCAATCGCGTATCCTTTGATATCTTGACTTGTGATCCATGGCAAGAAGGGAGGTAGAGTCTTCAATTTCTTCACACAAAATATTCAATTAAGATGGAAGCTTAATTGAATATTATTTCCATCTTAATTGGATATTTTGTGCAAGGTTTATTGTGTTGATCGCCCTATGCTAAAGAGAAGAAGTGACAAAAAAGAGGTAGCTAATTATGGGGTTAGTGTTTGAGCGTTAAACACGAGAGAGGAAAATGAGGCAAATATTTGAAGTCAAAAGACAAGTAGGCAAGTGGGTAATGTGCAACACTTAGATGTGAGGCTTAAGGGTGCAATAAATGACTGCATCCAAAGGCAATGAGAAATTGGATATAGGCCTCACAAGGTTCTATCATTTGTTTGATTATTAGAGCTTGTTAGGTGGTGCTGGTCACGTATGTCTCATGGATATCTACGTGACATAGCTGTTGCTTCCTTATTGTTGCATGTTAAGTCAAATAATTTTGTATACCCTAATGTTCCTCTTCCTGTTTCCACCTTTATATTCATCGAATGAAGACTATTATTCTACATAAATACAGTCTCTTGCTTTTACATTCTTGCATTAACTACATCTTTTATTTCTTTAGTTTGATGGTGTGAATTTGGTTGTTTAAGTGTTTCTTTTTTTTCAAATTATTTTTTTTGTATTTTTCTAATTTAAATTTATGTTATTTCCTTAAATTTTTTATAAATTAGTTTCTACTCAAATTTTTTCAATTAAAATATTAAATTAAAATTACTTAAAATAAAAAAAAATCTCAATTTTTTCTTTCTTCAAGATATCCATCTTGTATTTTACAAAATTCATCAAACTTTATCAATCTTTTACTATTTTTTATTTATATACCTTTAAAATTGTTTCATATCCAATTTAATCATAAATCTCTAATTAATTGGATAAAAATTGAGAATGTTAAACAGAAAAATTAACAGAGACCAAATATACTAAATTTTGAAAATAGAGGTATAATTAATTAGCTTTAAAAAGTTAAGAGAGTGAAGCTATATATATACCGTCCAAATTGAAGAAACCAAACGTTCAATTAAATCTTCCTTGTAAGCAATAGCATATGGTTATGGGGCTACCTGTCCTGGTTGTTCGATTATGTATCACAAATTCAATGACTACGATCGCATTTATGTAAACAAAATATGTTGTGACTTATATTATATCTGATTATAAGGTTTTCAAAAACATTTCAAAAAACGTTGCAATGTTTTTCTATCATAAAAAAGTAAAAAATATTTTTAAATAATATATAACAAAATGAGTGTTTCATAATTTTTTTAGATCGAATTATGCATAATGCACATCGGGATTAAAATAGTTTAAAAGATCAATTTCAACTCCACCAAACATGACAAACTGAATGTATATGACCACTTAATCATATATTTCTAGCCATTTAAATCCTATGAAATTTGAATTAACATAAACTTTAGTATAATTCAGGAGCTGAATTAGTTGATACTTTTCTCACTTATTAGATTATGTTGTTGTATTCTTTTCTCTTTTTTACTAATTTCAACGAATACCTTAACCTCGTGCATGAATTATGATGAATTCATATTTTGATATATTTTATAATTTATATTTATACATTTAAACTCTATTTTATATATATTTACACTAATTATGTTATTAATTGTTGCAGTTTAGCTGGAAGTTGTCATTAGTACATTATGGAGATATTCTAGATAAAAATTAAATATTTTTAGTCCTTGACAGTGCTGTGTGAAATTAAGTTTGAATTTTGAATTCAAACTTAGATACGAACATTTAGAGCAATTCTGAAATTCAAACTTAGATACGAACATTTAGAGCAATTTTGATTATAGATAAAATCGATTTAAAAAGATAAAGTTCAACCGACTGGAAATTCAGGGTATAGCCTATATAAAGAGGCCTTATGCTTCACACTTGACACTTTCACTTTTCTACACACATTCTTCCCCTTTTTAGTTCTACCCAAACTCATCTTTAAGAGTCATTGGAGACTATTGGCAAGGACGACAAGCTTTCTCTTGGAGTCCAAGTAAATGATTGAGCACCCCTTCGAAGAACAAGAATTTTCTTTATCTTTTACCTTTCTGGATTTCTTTTGTTTGAGTTTTTCTTTGTAGTTGTGGGTTTATTTATCACGTTCTTCGTAATTTATTTTGTTATAAGTAGCTAAACCCATAGCTAGGGTTATGACGGATCTTACTACAAACTTTATGTGATTTTTACTTTAATGTTGGTATTGATTTTTCTTTAATGTTTGGTTTTATTCTATTGGATTATATTGTGTATGTTAAGATTTGATCACCCTTAGCATCCCATAGTTAGTTGCATCGTAAGTGATCGTACCACGTGTAATTAACGAAACTATAGGATAAAACAAGATAAGGGGTTAGGTTAATCACACTTAATTCCTTTTTTTTCAGCCGTTATTGAATTAACAAACTCATAGGATCTTCATGTTTTCTCGACTAATTACCTTGCATGATCATTGGGAGTGTTTGCTCAGGAAAAAGAATATTAACATTGCATAATTATTGGGTGACAATAAAATTAATTATGAGTGGTTAGCAAATATTTGAATACCAATATCATGATTAAATTAATTAGAACATAAAAAAGTGTAGTAGGTGAACTCATAAGTCCTAGGCTCATCTCATCTGATCTCTCTCATACATTCTATTACTGTTTTTTTAATTTATTGTTAAAATTAAGCTCTATTTTTTATCCATTACAATCTTGTTATGTTTAAACAATCAAATTAAGTTATTCTTGGTACTTGAAAATAATCTCTGTGGAACGATAATTTAAAACTCTTAATTCCAAAATCCTTTATTACTTTTTGATATATACACTTACCTACGAACAAGTTTTTGATGCTGTTACTAGGGATTAGTTTTCAATATCAAAGAAAATCGAGTATTTGGTTGATTTAAACATTTTATTTTTATTTTGTTTTATGCTCACTCGTTCTAAACCTATTGTAGAACTCACTTTTGATCCGAAAATCGAGAAGATCGCACGTAGGCTAAGGAAGGAGTGTAGAGAAAAGAAAAAGATGGCAGAAGAACGATTAATCTTGGAGTACATAACACCTATTGATGAGGGTGATGCTGGGAGCATTGTAGCACCTGACATAGAGGCCAATAATTTTGAATTAAAGTTGGCTTTGATCAATCTAGTCCAAAACTCCATACTATTTTCGGGGCGACCTGATGAAGACCCTCACCTTCATCTGAAAAAGTTTCTCTAACTTACTGATACCATCAAATACAATGATATTACCAAATATGCTATAAGGCTTCGCCTCTTTCCATTATCTGTCACGAAAAGGGTGAACGCATGGTTCTCCACACTTCCATCTAATTCAATTACAACGTGGGATGGCCTGACACAGCAATTCTTAGCCAAATATTTCCCACCATCACTCTCTGCGAAGCTGATGACAGAGATCTCCAATTTTTAACAATGTTAATCTGAACCTCTGTTTGAGACGTGAGAGCACTTTGGAGAACTTCTAAGGAGATGTCCACATCATGGTTTTCCTGTGTGCAAGCAAATGCAAATTTTTTATGCTGGACTCTCATCTTCTAAGAGAGCTACAGTTGATGTAGTTGCTGGAGGATCCTTTCTCTGCAAAGGGCCAATTGCAGCCCATACATTGATAGAAAAGATAATATCTAGTAATTTCCAATGACATATAGACCATCACAGAAGCAAAAAAAAGGAAGCCTACCAGGTAAAAAGTAGCGATTCAATAACAAATAAGTTGGAAACTCTATCAAAGCAAATAGAAATCTTACTAAGGGCACAAGATCCATCAGCAAAACCTCCAGAGACCGAGGAGGCTAACTTCTTAGGCAACAGTTACAATTATAGATGGCGTAGCAAACCCATGAACTTATTGAAGAATAGCCAAGAAGGTCAAAATTTAAATGTTTATCGCATTCCCCATATGCAATCTCAAGGGGTAAGGATAGAAAGGAGAGAGCCCTCAACCTTTCAATTGGAGCAGAGAATTTCAAAGCTTGAGTCCCAGATGGAACAACAAAGTCTTCAGACAGAGCAACAAGCCCAAATAATGGACAAGAAGTTTTCAGAAATAAGATATGATACATTCGAGATAAAATCACAACTGGAACAACTTACAAATTTGTTGACTCAAAAAGCGCTAGGGATGTTGCTCACCCAGCCTGAGCCTAACCCCAAAGAACATGCCAAGGCAATTACATTGAGAAACGGGAAGACGTTACCTGAAAACGTGCCAAAGTCGCAGAATATCGCTATATGCACACCTGTGCTCCCTTATATGCACAGCCACACTGACGTTGCAGAAATAGAACAAGAAAGAAAAAAGCATCATCAACAATGTTCAAGCCTCAAGAACTTCAAATCTCTGTTTTGCAGAGGTTGAGAAGCAGTCAGAGGGACCCACAGTTCAACAAATTCCTTGAAATTTTGAAGAAGTTGCACATCAACATACCCTTTGTGGAGGCCATCTCTCAAATGTCCAAATATGCTAAGTTCCTTAAGGAAATATTAAGCAATAAAAGAAGGTTGGAGGAATTCGAAACTGTAAAGCTTAATGAAGAATGCTCCACAATCCTTTTGAAAAAGCTACTCCTAAAATTTAAAGACCCAGGGAGTTTTACTATTCCTTGTACTATAGGTAGCTCTTATTTTGATAAAGCCTTATGTGATTTAGGGGCTAGCATAAATCTAATGTCTCTCTCTGTTTTTAGAAGGTTGGGTATACAAGAACCCAAACCTACCTCTATTTCTTTACAGTTAGCAGATAGATCCATCACTTACCCAAGGGATATAGTAGAAGATGTCTTGGTAAAGGTAGACAAATTCATCTTCCCTGCAGATTTTTATTGTACTAGACATGGAGGAGAATAATGAGGTTCCCATTATTCTGGGGAGACCATTCTTAGCCACTAAGAAGATCATTATAGACGTCCAACAAGGGAAGCTCACATTGAGGCTAAATGATGAAGACATTATTTTTAAAGTTTTTTATTGTCTTAAACATCCTTCTAGTTTTGATTCTTGTAATTTTATTTCTGTAAATGATCATTTTTTCTCTTTAGACTCTGTACAATTAATTGATAGGTTGAGCGGTTCTACTCTAGAAAAAATTCTCACACTTGAAAAAGATGCTATAATAGAAACAGAGGAAGTAATAGATGAAATTTTGGCTTTGGAGAGCGAGAATCAAAGTCGATGGTTGGCGCCTAGGCATTTTGAAAGCT